ATATACCTCTTAATAAAATGAACGTATCATAGTGTACAATTACCCCTCTGTGTCTTGTCTATGTGCCAAAAAGCCCTTGCGAAAATCCCCTATACTTTTTAGTCCAAGGCAAAATTCCCGCTCGAAGCAGATCATGTGTTTCATGGCTGCTTGTGCAATTTTTCTTCATTTTTGCTTAGGAAATGATATAATTGCACCCAAAGCCTACACCATTAATCCATCGTCATCTAAGGCAGCCAATTTCTCTTCTTCTTCATTCTTGAAAGTGAAATGGTATTACAATTTTTTTTTCGTGGTTTCTATTTTATGACCATCTTTTATTATCCATTGGTATACATGCCATCTGCCTGAGTATTTTAGGGGCAGTTTTCTAAAAACCCTTGAATGCTAATAGTACGTCTTCCAAATTAGACAACCACACTTTTGAAATTTGCTAAAAGTTCTTTATACTTCAGACGTCTTCATCCCGGTTGCCTCCGTTGGATATGTTCCACCAATCAAATCTGTTGTACATCCGCTCCCTGCTGCCACCGTTGATGCTCTACAACACAGCCTCACACAGGCGCACACACCTACATACACACATACGCAACCTCATACATGCGCACGTACATACAATTTTGGTTACACTCGATCATCTCCGTTGAAACCTAATAATTATGGAAACCAAACCGAAAAAAAAAATGTGAAGAATTGTTTGGTGATGGTAATATTAGTGGTGATGTAAGCACCAAAGATTTAATTTTTTTTTTCTTCAGCTTATTTAACTAAGATGTGTAACTAAGCTATGTAAATAAGTTGTCTAAGTGTAACTAAGCTGTCTAAGTTGTGTAACTAAGTTGTCTACGTTGTGTATATACTGTGGGAAGCATTTATTCTTGTTTTAGTTTTTTTTCACTGTATTTTAACTAACCTGCTAGTTATTAATTTCACTAGGTTGTTGCTTATTAATATCACTAAGCGGTGAAATCACCGGGCCACCGTTACTAATAAGTTTCCAAAACGATTCCATTGGGGGAGAGGAACGCATAGAGACTTTTAGCGAAATTGTAAATTGCGCGCATCCAGCTGTAAAAAATATTTTTGAGGGACCTCCAACTAATTTTTCCTTTATTTTATGATAATGACATAAAATTTTACTAGATGTTCTAATTACTCATTATTCCAATGAACAGATAAGAACATGCTAATAATTTCTCAATATTAACAATATATGAGTTAATTATGAGAACTCATGCAATCCAAATTTATAATATGTCAATAAAACTCATTTGTGAAATAAGTAGGCAGAAAATGAATCAATAATATTATTCTGAGATTTGAAGATTTAAATGTTTTTAAAATTCTTTTTTTTTTTGCATGAATGCTTGGTATTATTGGTTGTTGGAAATACCTACACGCAAGTGTACGTATCGAACAAGTGATATAGTGGACTTTTAAGTTTGAATATTGATCCCATAGAGAATACTTAATTTTCTAATTTTAGACGCTAAATTCCACTAATTATTATCAAGCCCACCGTACACAGTCGAAAGTTGAGGAATTAAACTAAATTAAACTAAAACAATTAAAGCAATTTAAACAGTAAAAGGCATGACAACAATTAAACACGAAGATTTATCAAGGTAACAAGCCTAGGATTTTATTATTCCCCCTATGTGATTAT